GGGGGGGGGGGGGTGTAGAGAGAGAGAAAGATCACATGGATGGCTCCAATGCAGGGATTTAACATTACAGGGATTTTTTTTTCTTTGGTTTTATGTTTATATCTCTTTTTGTCAGAGTGAAAAGATTAATTCCTAATAATAATGGTTTAAAAGAGTTACTATACTTGCCCAAGTAATACAACTAGTAATATGAAGAACAGGAGCTCATATTAACTCTCATGCTTCCTTGTACCTTACTCTGTTCTTCAGGCTTTCTCAGCTTTTCTAAAAGCTTTTGTTTTATTTCAGCTTTTTGATGGCTTTATCTGTGTACCATGTATGACTATAAGGCAAGAGAGCTACCTAGATGGTATTAGGCAGTTGCCAAAATAGTTCCACCCTGGGAGAGCTTCTCCCAGGCTATTGTTGAAAGTATGCATCATTTAGAAAGGAAAGTTTATGATATTTTTCGGAGTCTGCCTTGTGTTAATTAGTATCAAGCTAAAGTGAATGGCAAATGTAAATTTAATTACCTTAATTTATATAGTTTGTACCTGTAAGATCAACACGTTAGTAAGATTGCTTTGTCATTCTGTGTGTGCTTGTGTGTGAGAACGATAGGCAGAGAGAGAGAGACAAAGAAATAGTGTGTGTATGAGAGAGAGAGAGACAGAGAAAGACAGAGAGAGATGGACAGACGGATGGAGACAGACAGACAGACGCTGTAGAGCATATGACCTGGAAGAATCTTGTTGCTGATGTTTAATTGAGAAATGGAACCTTGAAACCCTGCTCTTTGGAGTAGTGCCTGCCACATTACCTTGGATGGTTACAGCAGCAAATTACCCTCCAGTTTGAAGATTTTTCTGAGCTATTTTTCTTTATATGGTTATTGAAAGGTTCCAGTGAAAGAACATAAGTGAAAACACTTGAAAAAAACTATATAAGGAATTACTGAGGTACAATTCAAACTCTGTTTTCAGAGTTACTCACATTTGTGCTTAAGGCTCAAAATCAGATTTGCACAAAAAGTCTTTGTTCTTCTTTCCCAGATCACATAGAAAGTATCATACATTTTAATTCTGTGCTTCATTAAATTTTTAAAAGGGATTTCTCAATTCCTTGAAAATCATGAAATAGATTTCTAGAGTCAGGCTTCTCTGCATGTCCTACTTCTGGCTCCTCATTTCACCACAGGGAAAACTCGGGACTCTGCATATTTACAGTCTATATATGTGAAATACTATTTTCCAGATAAGCCCAGTTACTTCCACAAGAAACAACCCATGTTTGTTATAAATCATTGTCTTTAGGCTTTAAAACATTTTATCATTTGATGGGATTAATCTGAACAACTCTAAACCTCAGTTTAAACCCTCAAATGTAATGTGTTAAAAATTATGTTTTTATTATCTTACTATGAGTGCTAAGGTTAAGAATCCCCTTAACAGTATAAAAACATACCATTTTGCCAGACTTAACAGAGAAATAGCTCTAGATGTTTTACTACTGTCAAAATAAAACATTTAAAGGTTGAATATCTTAATCATACAATGTAAACCTACAAGTGAAGTGATATAACATTCTTGAAGATTCAATGTAGGAAGCTTTGGGGGGATGTGGTGGGAAAGATGGTCTTCTTTTTGTTTGGAAGGGTGTCCAGATTGTAAAAATGGGAATTATATTGTAATTTGTTTTAAAAATGAGCCAGCTCTATCCCTTCATTTTGACAGATTTGTTCACATTATAAGCATTTCCTAAACTACACTTAGTGTGTCAGTTAGTGCTCATCATACACTTCCTCATTCAGTCCTCACAGCAATAGGATTTTCATTCTCATTTTCAGTTGAGGGAATTCAGATAATTTTGGAGGGAAAAGCCATTTATAATTACATGCTTTAAAGTTCTACTGCTAAAACTTTTTTGGTGTATTTTATCTTAGTTATTGATTGCCAGAAATACCGGCAAGAGAATTTTTTAAGTGTATATGTCAAACTTTTAAAAATAAATATTAATTTTCTGTGTGATTCCATGTCTGTGTATTTCAGTGTGGTTTAAAAGGTTCTGTAGATCTATATACTCCCAAGGAAATCTTTAAAACAGGGTAGATTAGTGGCGATAGTCACTAAGTCTTGGTTTTTACATTTAACATTATAGAACATGTTAGATGTATTATAGAAACTAGCATTATTATATAGTTAGTTTGTTTCTTTTTAGAAATTAAGTTGATGATGTCAGAATCCTATGTTAAGATTTTTAAAAAATTTTTTTTTCAATTACAGTTTATATTCAAAATTATTTTGTATTAGTTTCAGGTATACCAGCATAGTAGCTAGACAATCATATACTTCACAAAGTGGTCCCCACTGCTTATGTTAAGATTTTAATTGCACTAATTACTTAGAACATTCTCAATACTTCTAAAATTATTAAAAACCATTAACCTGCCTGTCTCCTAGTGAGTTTCAGAATGATGCTTTAAATGTCAGTTTATCAAGGAAATGAAACCGTTCTAAAAATTGGCAAATTTAGCCCTGTCACAGGTTTGAATAAAAAAAGACAGTGGTAGGGAGCAGATAGGATGAATCTCTTAAATGTTAACTACTTTTCACCTATTGCTACAGGGTCCAAGACTTATAGGTAACTGTCATGTATAAGATTTCATTCTGTGTTTTACATTGCTTCTGTGTATACTTAGTGCATTTAAGAAAATACCTTATTTTAAATTGGGATTGAGGGAATTTATCTGTGCTCTTAAAAAAAAGCTTAATTAAGAGAAATCATCATTATTGTATCACACTCTGTGGTTAAGAAATATTTAGCCGTGCCTGGGTGGCTCAGTTGGTTGGAATGTTGTCCCTTACACCAAAATGTGGGTTTGATTCCCGGTCAGCGCACATGCCCAGGTTGCAGATTCTTCCCTGGTCGCTGTGCATACAGGAGGCAATCAATCGATGTTTGATATATTGATATTTCTCTCTTTCTCCCCCTTCTCCTCTTTCTAAAACTAATAAACATATCCTCAGGTAAGAATAAAAATTATGTATATTTATACTTTTCTTGTTTTTGGCAGGGTTGTTACAAGTTGAGTTGAAAACAAGAAAAACTTGCTTTTGGCGCCATCAAAGAGGAAAGCCAGATACCTTCCTTTCCACAATTGAAGCCATCTACTACTTTCTGGTAGACTACCATACTGATGTATTAAAAGAGAAATACAAAGGACAATATGACAATCTTTTATTTTTCTACTCTTTTATGTACCAGTTGATAAAGAATGCCAAATGCTCTGGAGACAAGGAAACAAGAAAAATTACTCATTAGTTTTTAAGAAGCCACTTATGACATTTTATTTTGCTAAAATCAATAAACTTGTCATTGTGCTTTGTTTATTCTTAGGCAATATTCATGTGTCATGTCTGCAAGACCACTTCAAAAAATAAGGCTTTGTTTATTTTACCTCATATTTTTTACAAAGGGAGTTATTTCTAAGGGAGTTTTCAGAGCTAGTGTTGACTGAAAAATTAGCTTCAGAAATTATTAGCTCAAGTTTGGCATGTCTCAATTTTACTACCATATTTTAATATAATAATGTGTTATATCTACGTAATTAGATATATTTAGATATTTGTTTAGAGACCCACATGTCTTTCCACCTGTACTCACTATCATGTTTGGAGGTGGATGGGATCAGAGTCTCCTTGCTGACAATGAAGTCATAGGTAATTTGTTTGAAGTTAAAGGCAAACATGGGCAGAACTAGAATTATAGCTCCAGCCCATAGGGCTGTGTCCTTAAGTCCACACTGCTTGTGGTAGACATTTGTTGCTTTATACATCTGTCTGGCATCTTTTCTTAAAATCTAGTAATTCTTTTTTAATCATCCCTGGAGGATGTTTATTGTTGTTTTTGAGAGAGAGAAGAAAAGGGAGAAAGAAAGTACCATCAATGTGAGAAAGAAACTTCATTACCTCCCGAACGTGCCCTGACTAGGGATTGAACTCACAACCTAGGTATAGGCCCTGACCAAGGATTGAGCCCATGACCTTTCAGTTTACTGGACGATGCTCCAATCAAGTGAACCACACTGGCCCAAGGCTGGCACTTTTTTTAGGGAAAAATTGCTATCAGTCATGGGGTCCTGTCATAGGTATGGACACGTCTCAGTCTAGCAAGCAAGGTGTCCAGTGATTGATTCAGTGGTGAGCACATAACCCAGCATCCTTTTTCACGAGTAGTATAGATGCTGTAGGAGATAGGGCTTATTTTTCAAGACACACTATGGTGCAGTTGTTAAAAGCACAGACTCTAGAGCTGGACTATCTGAATCTTTTCCCCTTACCAGTGGTATTTCAGTTTCTTCATCTGTAAAGATAGGGTAATACAATAGCTACCTTATAGGCTAATTACGAGGATTAACTGAGTTGATGTATCTAAAATGGCTTTCAACACCACCTGACATATAGTAAGTGCTGTATATATGTGTCCTCTTTTTATTATTTTATTTGGAATTGTAAACTAAATGAGATAACCTTAGAGCTCTGTGCTGGCATCTGTGCTGCAGGTGGCAAGAGCCTGCCTTAGAATGAAGCCAGCAAAGGAAAGAGTAGAGAGAGAAAAAGTGAGTCCTGAGGACATCATTTAGTCACCTCATATAGCTGCTTGTGGATGGAACCGTGTGCTGGGTAGCTTCTGTTTGCCCCTTGGGATCCACCCTCTGCTCTTCCATTCTCTCAGTCTGTTAGGTGAATTCCCTTGCTCTCTGACTTTTGCCTGGTTTCAACAAATGAGAAGCACCAGTGGGAGATTGGAGGTTGAAAAGCAAATTAAATTGTATTTACTCTCCCCCCCCACACCTCCTTTCCTTCCAGGTAACCACTGATTGTCTCTGTCCCTCTACTGAAGGCCATCCTATCAGGCATCCCTTTCCAAGCAGTTATTCCAGGTACTCTCTCTCTTCAGGTCCCTCCCTTTACCTCTCTTCACTTAGGGGTAGTAATGCCTCCCAGGTGTTACTAGCCCCAGGGTAATTCATTAACCCTTGTTAGTTTCCCTAAATCCTGCCTATACCTTTGTAAATAGTCATTTTATATTATTTAAATGCCCCCATTTGAAGTTGCCCTCTGTTTCTTTCTGGGACCCTGACTTTACCCGTGTAGATGCTAGAAATAACTACGTTTCCCAAAAGTATATTCAGTGGGACACGTGTTTCGTGAAAAAAACAAGTTAATGGTGAAATTTGTTTGCTGCAGATTATATTCCCCTCTTAGAGATTCAAAAGGCACAGCATAAAAGTGCTAAGTCCTGAAATAAACATTTAAAACTTTATTTAGGCTACTATTTCTCAAAACTTAATTGAATAAGTAATGGCTACTAGCATCCTGTAAAAGTAGGACATTTGGAGTATTGTAATACATGGCAATTCCTGATTTTGTATAAATGTGGAAACTGACGCCTAAAAAGATTAACTTGCCCACCAGTCCCAAAACTAGTTAGTAATGGAAGTTGGTCTAGAATCTGGGACTTCTCATTGGTTCAGCGAGGTCATCATTTATTTTTATATTCATGAAAAGGAATGTAGATTATATAAGACTTGGACATTATTAGCCCTATAGTCTTAGCAAAATAAACTGGTTTGTTTATGTAGCAGTTATTTTACAAGAATGGAATTAAAATGGGGTTTTTTAATCTTTAAAACTTAGCACTAGAAGCAGGAAGACCTGAATTGATTTAAGCAAGCCAAAGTTAGATTTCTCTGAGCTAAATTTGGACCTAGCTCAGAGAAATCCAAAAATCTATTGCCGTTTAACTGGCTCTACAAACAACATAACTGTTAAGAGGGAGGAAAACACACACACACACAAATGATCAATTCTATCACTCATTTCCCCCCATTTGGCATAAGATGACCCACACAGGAACAGAGACAAATGGGATGATTGCCAAAAAAGAGGGGGGAGGGGGGTGGGTAAAAAAAGGTGAAGGGGAATATATTCCATAATATTGTGATAAGGACATGGTAACATGATTACTAGAATTAGTGGGGTGGTCACATTTTAAGTATTAAAATGCAGAATCACTATATTATACACCTAGAACTAATGTATATCAACTGTATTTTTTTTTTTTAAAAAAGACCTACATAACTTCAAAAGAGCCTATTTTACAGCTAAAGCTAGATAAAATCTCAAGTTCTTGCCCCCAAAACTATACTAATACCTGTTATAACAATGCATTGGTTGTGCTTGTCGTTTTATTTTTTTGGTATAATAGACTACAAAAATGGCCCTAATTCTTTACTCCTCCCTGTATTCATGGTCCTTTTTCATGCTCCTTTGAAGTAAGTACCCTCTCACTCTGATTATGGGCCATATGCATTTCCAAACATCTAGCATATTTCCACTTAGTCTTGTGCTTATCCTGTTGCCATAAGCACGTGCATGCCTGGATTAGCCTGCTGGACGGTAAGACATGCATGGAGCAGAGCCAGGTTACCGTGGTCACCCTAGCTGAATTCTCTCTAAATTGGCTGATGGCCATTCAACTCCCAGATATGTGAACAATCCCAGCCAAGATCTGCAGAGCTCCCTAACTGACACCTACCCATTGCAGATGTGTGAGCAAGGGATGTCTGTTACGCCACTGAATTTGTATAGCTGTCTATTACACAGTATTATTGTGCCAGTAAATATCTCATCCTGGGATATAGTATCAGATACAGTTTCCTCAAGTACCTTCTCAGATTCTTGGCTGCACTGTTTACAGCACCATCAACCACTTGCTTTGCCATAGCTACCACCCTACAAAGTGGCACTACTGGCAGGCTCGTGTGATTTCTGCCTGAAATCAACTGGCCACATGCTCAGAATCCCTCCCAGCACCTGCGGACTCTAGGAAGCACTCTGCCGCAGGGTTTCCCCAGTGACTGTCAGAAGGGCTAGATGGTGCCATCTGGATCAATGGTCTAGAAGATGCTGTCAGAGAAATTCCTATCTTTTTTTCTGATGGACTCTTTCAAGGCACAGTTTTTCACCCTTGTGTCCAGAGATGTACCATGTGGCTAAGCAAGTGTACTTGCCAAATGATTGGCAGTGCCTCTTCATGGCTTTTCATGAGACAAATCAAGGGCTCTATAGTAATATATCAACGTGCATTTGCTTCCCACCTTCTTAGCCGTCCTTTCTCCCTCGCTCTCCCCAGCCTGGATTTGCACCTTCTGATACAGTAATAGATTTAACTTTTGCCTCAGACTCTCTTTCATGGAAGCCAGGTGTCTTAGTGTGGATTGGGTGAGGAAAACAGGTTCATTACAAGTAGTACATGAATGAAGAGGTTTAATAAAGAATTAGGGTTCACCCAAATACAGAGGTTGCTGGGGGAGTAAAGGTCTGGAAGATGACTCATAAGAGGTTAGAGAAACAGTCACTAACTAGTTCAGCCTGAGATGCTCAAAGTGCCATGCCCATGACTTAGTTTATTGACGTATATGTCTTGGAGCATATTAAGCTTCTCATTCCCTTAATCTTTTTAGGTATACTTTGTTTCAGCTGAAAGGCATCTCAGTCCTTTCAGAGGTCTTAAAAAATGAGTGTATATCTACACGCCTTTATTGGTTTCTTCCTTGAGGCCACAGTAGTAGCAGTACCCTAGACTTGGTCTTGGTCCTAAAGTTGTATTTAATGAGGACATATTTGATTTAGCGAGAAACAATTCCATTCTCCAGCCCTGTACATCATAGGCTCTATATTCCCTTTCAGTTCCATTTGCATACCCACCACCTTATTTTTGAGCTTGTCTCTTTTAGCACCTTACCAATTACAGCTAATAGCAGCCAGCTTATTCTTTCAAAATTCTGCCTCAAAATCTCGCCAAATGCCGTAATGCATTAGCTGCATTTTCTGTCCTCATGTTATTGCAGGCGATAATTTTTGCCTCCCAATACTGACAGTTAAAAGACCCAAATGAAATGTTTGGCTAAACGCTTAATGAACCTGCATTGAAGACCAGCAGCCAAAAATCACTATCCATGGAAAAGAGCCAAGCATCACTAGATATGTGGTGAAAGCCTCCACATAAAAAAGAGGGACCCAATAACAAGGAGGAGGAAAAATCTAAAGGAAACACGCAATCAGAGAACAAAGAGAAAAAAAACTAAACTAAGTATCTTCAGAAAAAGAGTATATTGTGTGTATAAAAAGAGAATGAAATAGTATGAAAAAAAAACATGCAATAAAAAAGAGATCTAGGGAATTAAAAATGTGATTGCTGAAATACAAATTCAATAAAAATTTAATGTCTTGTTGGAAGACAAAATATAGCATAAGAATAGAAAACTGTAAATTCCAAATAAAGTTCAACCTTAGTTCAAAGTTGCAATTGAAACCATAGGCTGTATGTTACATGGTATTTA